ATTAGAACTGTTAGCAGTTATTGGTCATTAGTTATTTAAATATATATAATTAAAATAAAACAAATTAATTTAATTAACCTTTTAAACCAGCTTTAAAATCTTCGGTTAAGATTTCTTTAATTTTAAACATGATGTAAAATCCAACCGCCACAATTATCACTATGGTGAGTATGGAAATTCAACACTGGATAACAAATATTTAAAATCGAAAAATTTTTACCAACAACTAAATAATACAAAATCAAATTTAAACAAAAATGTTCGTTATTTTTCAGTTACTTATTTTAACGCGATAAACTTTATAGATCAAAAGATGTTTAACTACTGAAAATTTCAGAAATTGAAAATTTTCTTTTATAAAAAAAAACATTTTTTGCTGGTTTGCCGTTTTACTATAAATTCTGTTAAATAATTTCGTTTTGATATTATTGTTGTTGTTGTTATTGTTATTATCAAAACCGATAACCACAATGGCAGTTAATTCATTTGTACGAAAAAAAATATAGAAAACAAAATACAATTTAAATAATTATTCTACTTTTACTGTTTTTTTACGAAAAATATTACACGAAACTTCTTGTTAAATTTGCAACATTGTAACGATATTTTCTTACACAATTATTTACAATAAAATACTATGAGTATCAAATTTTTTCTCCCCAAAGTGTGCCAGTCCTACAAATTGATCTCTCTACATTTGGTAAACTTAAAACTAGTAAGTGTTTTGATACAGTAGGATATCAAACTCTAGTAATTCATTTCGCTTAATAGTCTATAGTCTAGAAGAGAATTGTCTGGACTCTAGGATAGCCTATAGACTATAGAATAATCTTTAGTCTGGACTATAGAATAGTCTATAATCTATATATATAATTTGGACTATAAAATGGTCCATAATCTGATCTATAGAATAGTTTATATTCTGGACTATGGAAAAATCTGTAGTATATATAATTGGGACTATAAAAAAGTCTACAATCTGACCTATAGTCCAGACTATAGACTACTCTATAGTCCATACTATAGACTACTCTATAGTCCAGACTATAGACTACTCTATAGTCCAGACTATAGACTACTCTATAGTCCAGACTATAGACTACTCTATAGTCCAGACTATAAACTACCCTTTTTCCATACTATAGACTACTCTATAGTCCAGACTGTAGACTACTCTATAGTCCAGACTTTAGACTATTCTATAGTCCAGACCATAGACTATTCCATAGTCCAGACTATAGACTATTTTATAGTCCAGACTATAGACTATCCTATAGTACAGACTATAAACTAGTCTATAGTCCAGTACCTCGTTTCTGTAATTTTTTCGAATCGAGAAAAAACTTAAAATATAATAGTCTTCCAGTTTTTAACAGTGTGATCATGAATTTTTCGACAGATTTTCTCGATGCGAGAATTACAGAAACGGGGCACAGACTATAGACTATCCTATAGTCCAGACTATAGACTATCCTATAGTCCAGACTATAGACTATCCTATAGTCCAGACTATAGACTATTCTATAGTCCAGACTATAGACTATTCTATAGCCCAGACTATAGACTATTCTATAGTCCAGACTATAGACTACTCTATAGTCCAGACTATAGACTACTCTATAGTCCAGACTATAGACTACTCTATAGTCCAGACTATAAACTACCCTTTTTCCATACTATAGACTACTCTATAGTCCAGACTGTAGACTACTCTATAGTCCAGACTTTAGACTATTCTATAGTCCAGACCATAGACTATTCCATAGTCCAGACTATAGACTATTTTATAGTCCAGACTATAGACTATCCTATAGTACAGACTATAAACTAGTCTATAGTCCAGTACCTCGTTTCTGTAATTTTTTCGAATCGAGAAAAAACTTAAAATATAATAGTCTTCCAGTTTTTAACAGTGTGACTCTGATTATTTTTGAACTGTACTCATTAAAATTTAATAAGAAATTATTAAATTTCTTGTATTCACCCTGTTTTACACAAGATGATCATGAATTTTTCGACAGATTTTCTCGATGCGAGAATTACAGAAACGGGGCACAGACTATAGACTATCCTATAGTCCAGACTATAGACTATCCTATAGTCCAGACTATAGACTATCCTATAGTCCAGACTATAGACTATTCTATAGTCCAGACTATAGACTATTCTATAGCCCAGACTATAGACTATTCTATAGTCCAGACTATAGACTATTCTATAGTCCAGACTATAGACTATTCTATAGTCCAGACTATAGACTATTCTATAGTCCAGACTATAGACTATTCTATAGTCCAGACTATAGACTATTCTATTGTCCAGGCTATGGAGTATTCTATAGTCCAGACTATGGACTATTCTATAGTCCAGACTATGAACTATAGAATGTTCTATAGTGGACTATAGAATAGCCGATTGTCTGGACTATATTATAGCCTATAGTCTGTACTGTATAGTCTTTATTATTTACTATGGAATAGCCTATAGTCTGGACTATAGAACCGTCTATAGCCTGACTATAGAATAGTCTATATTCTGGACTGTGGAATAGGCTACAGACTGGACTATGGAATAGGCTACAGACTGGACTATGGAATAGTATATATTCTGGGCTATAGAATTGTCTAATTTATAGAGTAGTCTATTACTTGAACTATAGAATAGTTTATAGTCTGGACTATAGAGTCTACATATATATAAATCTAATAGCTAGAACTTCAAAAAACTAAAACGATGTTGAACTATTTATTTATTGATTTCTTAATTAAAATTTCTTCTGCTTTTATTCATCCTTTATAAAAATTCTTATTAAACCATTTCATATATAATGACCTACTTTTCTATGTGCATTGGAATTAATGCAAATATTCCATTTCGTCATTGTTCCAATTTCATGATAATCACTTCTCAATTTCTCATGATTTATTTAATAAATGAACAAAAAAGAAAACTTCTTCCCTATTTTACATCAATTTACAAAGTCGTCCGAGTTTATTGTATGTTTTTAGGTCACCTTTTTATTTTATTGCAAAAAATTAACATTTCAGATTTCCATACTCCAGTTCCTTAGCAATGTAGTTCAAAGCCAATTCATATGCATCTTGTGTGAGAGTATTGTTTTTTTCGAAGAGATAACGTCGTTGGTTGTGTGAAAAAATGCGCGTGTGACCCAATTGCTTGGGGGAGGCAGAATGATGGGAAATGACATTGAGAAAATATCTTGGAATGTGTACATAAAAATTCTTAATGTAAATTACAAATATAATTTACGACAACAATATCCATTTTAAGATCATATTATACGTTTTAAGATCATACAATTAAGGTATTTTGCTCAACTTTTGAAGTCAAGAAGGAATAAAGTCAATTTCAAATAAAGCCAATTTCAGTTATTAAATAAACGGTATCTCAGTGAGAGAGTATTCTGCGTTGATCTATCTAAAAAAATAGTTTTAAGAGTTATTGCCCGAGCGTGGACGTAATGGAATAGAATGCTTTCATGCCTGGTATATACTGAGCGTTCTAGGCCACTTCTTGATTCAAACGAATCAGTGGTACTCGGTACAGGTTCAATGTGATGGACTAACTAATAGAAAGGACTCTTTATATAGACTATACTACATAATAGAATTGTCTATAGATTAGTACTTATATAGACTAGACTATAGAATGGTCTATTGACTAAACTACAGAAAAGTCTATAGGCTTGATAGAATAGTCTATAGACTTGACTATAGAATCCCCTATAGATTAGACTATAGAATATATAGTCTATAGACTAAACTATAGAAGAGTTTATAGACTAAAATGTAGAATAGTCTATGGAGCAAACTAGAGAATAGTCAATAGACTATAATATAGAATAGTCTATAGAATTGACTATGGAATAGTCCATAGACTAGACTATAAAATAGTCTATAGACTTGACTACAGAATAGTCCATAGAGTTGACTATAGACTAGACTATAGAACGGTCTATAGAGTAGACTATAGAATAGTCTATAGACTAGACTATAGAATAGTCTATAGTCTATATAGTACACTATAGAATAGTGTATAGACTAGACTATAGAATAGTCCATAGACTGGACTATTGAATAGTCTGTAGACTAGACTAAAGAATAGTCTATAGACTAGACTATAGAATAGTGTATAGACTATACTATAGAATAGTCTATAGAATAGACTATAGAATATTCTATAGTCTAGACTACAGAATAGTATTTAGACTAGACTATAGAATAGTCAATAGATTAGACTATAAAATAGTCTATAGACTTGAATATAAAATAGTGTATAGAATAGTCTATAAACTAGACTATAGAATAGTCTATAGATTAGAGTATATAATAGTCTATAGATTAGACTATAGAATAGTTTATAGATTAGACTATAGAATAACTCTTGACGAGACTATAGAATACTCTATAGACTAGACTATTGAATAGTCTGTAGTTGAAGTTTTAGTTATTCGATAGACTCTATAGTCCAGACTATAGACTACTCTATAGTTCAGACTACTCTATAGCCCAGAATTGATACTACTCCATAGTCAAGTCTACAGCCTATTCCACAGTCCGAAATATGGACTACTCTATAGTCAGGCTATAGACTGTTGTACAATCCAGATTATAAACTATTCTATAGTCCAGAATAAAGACTATATAGTCCAGACTATATAATATTCTATAATCCAGACTATAGGCTATTCTATAGTCCAACCTTTAGAATGTTCTGTAGTCCAGACTATAGGGTATTCTATAATCCAAACTATAGTCTATAGACTATTCAGTAGTCTTGGCTAGTAGGGTCGAGTTTAACAATATTCAGTGAGCTTCGTTAGACGAAAAATAGGTAAATTTCATCAAGTTATATCTGACGCACAAGGACAAGGACGGACATAGCTAAATCGAAATATCACTTTTCCCGAAATTCTGTAATTACAAATCGTAGGCACGGTGAAACTATGAGAGCATTGAGCTCATTCTTTTTATATTTAATTCTTGTATATAGAAATTTTATTAACTCAACTAATTTTAATCAATTTCTGTCTTATTTATATTTTTGTAAAGATAATATTTTATAAATTACGTAAAGGCGATTTAATGTCGCATATTTTGAAAAAAATCAAAAATATCCCACCTAAACACATTTCCAAAGATTTATTTATAATATTATTTCATCAAAAAGTCTCATCTTTCCCGTACTCCATTTATTTTTAATTGCCAACCTGACAGTATTACCTTCACCCCTCCCTAATTCATGATAATCGCATATTGTTCCTGAAGCTATAAAAAAAGTTGATCTGTTGCAACGTCTGAATTTTTGAAGATAAGTTGGTTGTCTAAAAAAAAAAATTATAATAAATTGGAAGTATATGTTCTAAAAACACTATAAAATAAACCCACCTGTGATAAGCAAAATTTACTATAAATCTACAATATAACTTAATCATTTCCGCTTCTATGGAATGGTTTTTAACATCGGGAAATTGAAAACGCGTTCGAAACAAATATATTTGATCGTCCCGATGAACTACATTATAATCACGCTTGACTGGATGATTGGCATAAGTTTCAGCATACGAAGCTTCTCCTTTGAAATTAAAACTATAAAAATAAACGGGATATTTAACTACATCGATTCTTTCAACATAATGCTTAATTGTATTGTACAAGGGATAATAGAATGCACGATCTGATAAAAGCTGTAAGATATTGAAAAGTTTAGATAATTAGTGGTCTGTGGCTAAAAGTTCATTAAATTATCTTGAATCGGAAGGAAATTTTTAAAGTTTCTATCATGAAATCTACTTTACTCACTTGCATAAAATTTGAGATGGTATTGCCATCCAATTGTAGACTCTGTAAATTATAGTTATCTAATAATATTTTCGTACTAAGCAGCCTCTTTTCATCATCAAGTGATTTGGGTAATTCCAACATTCTTGCCGTTAAATTTAAAAATTTTGAATTAAAATCATTACGTAAATCATCATTTTCCATAATATTCACCGCCCAAATAGCGCCCTCATTCGGTACTATACCAAACATTGAAGCCACTGGCCAATTTTCACCATTGACTATATACCATTTGGGATTTTTAATTAAAAAAGCATCAGGCGCATCTTTTTCAACGATTGGTCTATAAATGGCCAAACCATCAAGACTCCAAAATTTTAATTGATCTCCGGCATTAAGCAGTGTATCGGCGTCCATAAATAGAAGGGCCTCATGCAGCCTACGCGTATTAATTGTATCCCAATTAGTTACATTACAATATTTGGCGGTTTGTCTGGCTGTATAATCAGGGTCTTCATCAATGGCGTATATTGAATTGGCCGTTCCACTTATTGAAATAATGCCAGTAAAAAAACCACGCGATAATCGGCTAAATGTGTGTATATGAGCCGATATTCCTCCCGAATTTTGTCCCAACAGCGTAATCAAAAATTTATCGCCACCGAAATGCTCTACGTTATTGTACACCCATTGTAGGGCTACAAGTTGATCTTTTAAGCCTAAATTACCGGGAATTTTAGCATCACTAGTTGCTAGGAAACCAAATGGTCCCAATCGATAGGAAACTGTTACAAGAATGACATCCTGTCTATCCATTATGTATTCGGGCCCAGTTAAAAGCGGATTAGATGATCCAGCAAAAAACCCCATACCATTGAAATGTACTAATACGGGTATTGGCCTATGATATTTTAGCTGCAGTTATATATAAATATATAGTCCCTATATAAAAGCGATTTGAATAAGATCTTTGAGATACTTACAGTTGGTCTATATACATTTAAATATAAACAATCCTCACTGCCAACTATCGGTTTCTGATGGGCAAGGTAATTTTTGTGCTTGCAATCACATTTGGCTTTCGTAGCATCGTGAGTTTTTTTGCTGGTATAAGCTTTCGATACCTTTAAAAACAAGCATAAAGGTGAAATCGGTATATATAAATGTATATGTGAATCGTTTGATATACTTACTTGAAATCGATAAGGTTTAAATACATATGGAATTCCTAGAAATGCACCAAATTCCTTACTATCAAAGCTTATCATATACTTGCCTATATAACAACCAGCATCAGGTAGACAAACTTTTAAAGGATCATCGCATTGTACAAAAACAAAAATTACATTTCCTATTAAATGACTTAATAATAAGGCACCGTATAAATTTATTTCCATATTGTCTCAGTCAAATTTATTATTTAATTCAATGTAAATTTAATAACTTTTCTTTTAACACTCTTTCGAACGGTATAAAATTCTCTATAAACTTAAAAATCCATCTGTTTGAAATTTTATATTTATATATTGCCTTCGATATAATTAATATTTTTATACTTTAATTGAAATGTTTTTGTTTTGAATAGATTTCTTTCGAAACAAATTAATTTTAGTACAAAATGTTAAAATGTAATTATAATATACTTTGGACAGTGTTTCACAATGATTGTGTCAGTTTTAATGAGTTTTGAGGAACTATATTCAAAACTCGCTATCTTAGAAAGTTTTGGAAGTTTGATGAAGAAGGTCATTTATGAAAATAGGTACTAGAGTAGAGGACGGAGTGGTTTATAGGCTAGTGTTCTAGTCGGGTAGGCCGACAAACTAACTAACTAACTAACTAACTAACTAACTAACTAACTAACTAACTAACTAACTACTACTAACTAACTAACTACTAACTACTGCTAACTAACTAACTAACTAACTAACTACTACTAACTAACTAACTAACTACTAACTAACTAACTACTAACTAACTACTAACTAACTAACTAACTAACTAACTACTAACTAACTACTAACTACTAACTAACTACTAACTAACTACTAACTAACTACTACTACTAACTAACTAACTAACTAACTAACTAACTAACTACTAACTAACTAACTACTAACTAACTAACTAACTAACTACTAACTAACTACTAACTAACTAACTAACTAACTAACTAACTAACTAACTACTAACTACTAACTAACTAACTAACTAACTAAACTAACTAACTACTAACTACTACTAACTAACTAACTAACTAACTACTAACTAACTAACTAACTAACTAACTAACTAACTACTAACTAACTAACTAACTAACTAACTAACTAACTAACTAACTAACTACTACTAATAACTAACAACTAACTAACTAACTACTACTAACTACTAACTAACTAACTAACTAACTAACTAACTAACTAACTAACTAACTACTAACTAACTAACTATAACTAACTAACTAACTACTAACTAACTAACTACTAACTAACTAACTAACTAACTAACTAACTAACTAACTAACTAACTAACTAACTAACTAACTAACTAACTAACTAACTACTAACTAACTAACTAACTAACTAACTAACTAACTAACTAACTAACTAACTAACTAACTAACTAACTACTAACTAACTAACTAACTAACTAACTAACTCTAACTAAAACTAACTACTAACTAACTAACTACTACTAACTAACTAACTAACTAACTAACTAACTACTAAACTAAACTAACTAACAACTAACTAACTAACTACTACTACTAACTAACTACTAACTAACTAACTACTAACTAACTAACTAACTAACTAACTAACTAATTAACTAACTAACTACTACGAAAATTTTCTATAGAAAAATCTCGTTATACACCAGATTTCTTATTGAAAATTCACTTGTACACAATGTTTTCTATAGAAAATTATGTTATAAAGAAGATTTTTCAAAGAAAATTCAATTATACAGAAGTCATTTTATAGGACTCTCAGTTTATTTATAGCATATTTTTTTTAAGATAAAATCCCAAAGTTTCATCTTAGTCGTATCCCAGGTATTATTAGTTTCTACTCTGGCTGAATTATTTTTACTAACAAGTTGAAAATAATCGCATATTTCACCTGATGCTGGAAAAAAATTTGAACTGTTGCAGCGTGTAAATTTTGAAAAAGCAGGTTTTCTAAAAAAAGTAATGTTTGAAAATCACAATATGATCATAAAAACAATAAGAATAATGGTAAATCTACCTGTAATAAACAAAATTTGATACAAATCGAGTATATATTGTAATCATTTTCGCAGCTAATGTCTTCTTTTTAATATCGGGAAATAGGTAACGTGTCCGAAATAAATATATCTGATCATCTTGATGAACTACGTTATAATCACGATTAATTGGATGATCTGCATAAGTTGGGGCATATGATAATTCACCCTCGAAATTAAAAATATAAAAATATAGCGGATATTTACGTAGATTGATTGTATCAACATAATATTTAAAAGTTTTGTACATGGGATGATAGAATATGCGATCTGTTAAAAGCTGTAAGATATTGAAATATCAATTTGATCACGATCACTTCTAGCGAGTGATCTTAGTTTTGTGAACAACTTTACTTACTTGCATAAAATTATTAACGGTATTACCATCTAAATAAAGATCTCGTAAATTATATTCATCTAATACGAGTTTCGTTCTAGTATACTTCGTTTCATCATTAAATGACGATGGAAATTCCAACATTTTCACCGATAAATTCCAAAAATTCGAATTATAATCATCTCGTAAATGCTGATTTTCCATAATATTCACCGCACGTATAGCGCCCTCATTCGGTACGCGACCAAACAATGAAGGCACTGGCCAATATTCGCCGTTGCTTATATACCAACTAGGGTGTTCGACTAGAAAAGAATAACGCCTATCTTTTTCAACGATGGGCTTATAGTTACACAAACTATCAATATTCCAAAATTTTAATTGATCTCCAGCATAAAGCAGAGTATCTGCATCCATAAATAGAAGGGCTGTGTGCAACTTACGCGTAGTAATTGTATCCCAATTTGATACATTACAATATTTTGCGGTTAACCTAGCTGTTTGATCAGGGTTTTCATCAATGGCGTATATTGAATTGGCCGTTCCACTTATTGCTATAATGGCACTAAATAAACCGCGCGATATTCTGCTAAACGTATGCAAATGAGCCGATATTCCTCCAGCATTTTGTCCCATCAGCGTAACCCGAAATTTATCGCCACCGAAATGCTCTATGTTATTGTACACCCATTGTAGGGCCATAACCTGATCCTTTAGGCCTATATTACCGGGTATGACACCATCACTAGTTGCTAGGAAACCAAATGGACCCAGTCGATAGCTAACCGTTATAAGAATAAGATCTTGCCCATCCATTATGTATTCGGGACCCAAAAATAAGGGACTAGATGCTCCACTAAAAAATCCACCACCATGGAAATTTACTAATACGGGTATTAATGTAAAATATTTTAGCTTGAGAAATAAATAAGAAATACAATCTGCACTTAACACGCTTTTTAATAAGATCTCCAAAACAAACAAATAACTTACAGATGGTCTATATAAATTTAGATATAAACAATCTTCACTGCCAGTTATGAGTCTCTGATGATCAAGGTAATTTCTTTGCTTGCAAGCACATCTGGCTATCTTGGCCTGGTGAGTTTCATTGCTGTGATAACGTCTCGGTGGCTAAAAACAAAATGTACTTTTGGATCTTAAAAGTCGAATCCTATAAGTAGTTAATACTTACCTGAAATCGAAGAGGTGGAAATGCATATGGAATTCCAAAAAATGTTTCAATTTCCTTTTCATTATAACTTACAATGTATCTACCAATATAACAACCAGCATCAGGTAGACAAACTTTCAAAGGGTCAGCGCATACAAAAACAAAACCTAAATTTCCTATTAAATAACCTAATAATGTGACAACAAAAAAATCCATTCCCATTGTCTCAGTCAAATTGTAGAACGTTGAAGTTCGATTTTATAACAAATTAATTGAAAGCTATTTTAAATATTTTGACTCTAATTTGAACTCTATAAAATTGTATATAAACTTTAAAAAACATCAGAAATTTGATATTTATATATATCTTGGATATAATGAATTTTTTTCCACTTTAATTGAAAATGTTCGGTTTGAAATAAAATTTCTCCGCTACTACTTCTATTAAATATTAAATTATATTTACTTCAGACTCTGTCTTACAATGATATTGTCAATTCAAATGAATATCGATGGACTGTATTCAATACACGCTTCTTGCGATATTCATAAAAAAAAATAAGTTATTCTCGGTAAAGTATTCAGCAATAACATTCAATGCAAGTCGAAATAATTTAAAAAACTCAAACCTGGAGTATATACAACACCATAGTGGAGAGGGTATTATACGTTTATGCTGATGTTTGTAACGCACGCAAAAATATAGGTCCTACACCCATCTTAAAGTATACCGATCGACTCAGAATTACTTTCTGAGTCGATTAAGCCATGTCCGTCCGGCTGGCTGTCCATCTAAACCTTGTGCGCAAGGTACAGATCGCAATTTTCAAGATATTTTGATGAAATTGGGACCATACGTGTTTTGAAGCCCAACTATTGAAAATGGTTGAAATCGGTCCATTATTGCACCTAGCCCCCATACAACCCTACCGTCTCACTAATAAGGATAGACCCATATTTACCCTTGCCCCCATATAACCCTTACTTTTAAAAAATCACTTTTTTCAACAAATTGTTAAAATATTTCGGAATTAAGGTAAACAACTTAAATGCTTTGTTATTACAAATAATCCACATTTTTAACATACTCAGTGGTGTAGAGTATCATATGCTCGGCCATGCCCGACTATACTTTCCTACTTGTTTTCTTAGCGATTAAGCTGAATTCAATCGAACTCCGAATTTCTCCTATTATTTTATTAGATTAAAGCATACCAAATAGATTAGACTAGTCTAAAATCTGGTCCATGATCAAGTCTATATAGTCTATAGGTTAGTCTATAGCCTAGTCTATTGTCCGGTCTATAGTCTAGTATATAGACTAATCTATAGTCTAGTCTATATTCTAGTCTATAGTCTAGTCTATAGTCTAGTCTATAGTCTAGTCTATAGTCTAGTCTATAGTCTAGTCTATAGTCTAGTCTAGTCTATAGTCTAGTCTATAGTCTAGTCTAGTCTATAGTCTACTCTATAGTCTAGTCTACAGTCTAGTCTATAGTCTAATCTATAGTCTAGTCTATAGTCTAGTCTATAGTCTAGTCTATAGTCTAGTCTATAGTCTAGTCTATAGTCTAGTCTATAGTCTAGTCTATAATCTAGTCTATAATCTAGTCTATAGTCTAGTCTATAGACTAGACCTAGACTATAGTCTAGTCTATAGTCTAGTCTATAGTCTAGTCTATAGTCTAGTCTATAGTCTAGTCTATAGTCTAGTCTATAGTCTAGTCTATAGTCTAGTCTATAGTCTAGTCTATAGTCTAGTCTATAGTCTAGTCTATAGTCTAGTCTATAGTCTAGTCTAGTCTATAGTCTAGTCTATAGTCTAGTCTATAGTCTAGTCTAGTCTATAGTCTAGTCTATAGTCTGGTCTATAGTCTAGTCTATAGTCTAGTCTATAGTCTAGTCTATAGTCTAGTCTATAGTCTAGTCTATAGTCTAGTCTAAGTCTAGTCTATAGTCTAGTCTATAGTCTAGTCTATAGTCTAGTCTATAGTCTAGTCTATAGTCTAGTCTATAGTCTAGTCTATAGTCTAGTCTATAGTCTAGTCTATAGTCTAGTCTATAGTCTAGTCTATAGTCTAGTCTATAGTCTAGTCTATAGTCTAGTGTCTAGTCTATAGTTAGTCTATAGTCTTTAGTCTATTAGTCTAGTCTATATTCTAGTCTATAGTCTAGTCTATAGTCTAGTCTATAGTCTAGTCTATAGTCTAGTCTATAGTCTAGTCTATAGTCCAATCTATAGTTTAGCCTAAAGTCTAGACTATAGACTTAACTATATACTATACTGGCGCTGTCACAAAGGTATACTCTTGTCTCTGGATTTGACTTTATTTGATCAATTACTTGTTGTATTCTTCCACCAGCAGGCTTTTTTTGACTTCTGTAACATAACTTTTGGAAATGCATACATACGTAAAATTTTATATTGTTTTTTTTTTATTTATTAATGTTTTTTTAATACAATTCATATAAATACTCAGGGCTCATGAATACATCCGATGTTATTTCAAAATTTTATCCCAAAATTTCATACGTTTCGTATCAAATGCATTATTAGGACTTAAAACTATTGAATCATTTTCACCATTAACGAATTCAAAATAATCACACATTTTTCCGTCTGAAGGGAAAAATGTTTCATCGTTACAGGGTTTAAAGTTTGAATCGATATAAACAAGTTCTCTACCAAAAAAAAATTATATAAAAATGATCATAGAAATAGTAATAATAAAATGAAACTTACGTAGTATGAGCGAAATAGGTTAAAACATGTACATATTTTGCAACCACGGTTGCTTCTGCTGAATTCTTGGGAAAATCGGGAAAAAATAAACGATGTCTCAGCAAATAGATGAGATCGTCACAATGAATTACACCATAATCATAAAAGAGTCGATGACCGGCAATAATTTCGGAGTATGAATAGTTTCCAATATATTCAAAATTATACAAGAAAACTGGATATTTCTTGGTATCGATGGTTTCCACATAGTATTTAATGGTGTTATAAAGTGGATGATAGAAGTTACGATGTGTTATTAACTGTAAAGATTGGGAAAGATGACTTCGATTCACCATAATTTATTAGTATAACCTACGCCAATATGGTGTAGGCTAAAATAATAACATAGTGGACCATACATTCTTAATTCTTTATACTCACATCCATAAAACCATCCCACGTCTCTTCATTCAATTCATGAGTTCCATTTAAATATTCATCTAATATCATTTTGGTTTTCTCAGACTGTTCCGATTTATTAAATTTCGTTGGAAATTCTAAAAATTTTACCATGTAATGGAAAAAATGTGCATTGAAATCCTTGTGTAATACATCCGATGACATTATGCCCACAGTTCGTAAACCACCCTCAACTGGTACACGACCAAACATTATGGGTACTGGATTATAATTGCCCGTGCGTATATACTCATCGGGATGTTCCATTAAATAACCAAATGGGACATTTCGTTCAACTATAGGTTTATAGTTGACCAAATTATCGATATCCCAATATTTTAAATTATCTCCGGCATCAAGTAGTGCATACATGGGAACTTTTTCCAGCGCTTTCGCCAATTGAGCAGTTGTTATTGTATCCCAGTCTGTTATATTACAATATTTGGCCGTTTTTCTAGCCGTTTTCTCAGGATTATCATCGATGGCAAATGGAGCATTGGCCGTACCACTTATTGCGATAATTGCATGAAATAAACGAGTCGTTAATTTGCTAAACATGTGCATGTGCACCGATACAGCTCCCGCATCTTGTCCTACAAGTGTAATACGAAATCGATCGCCACTGAAAGCTTCAATATTTCGGAAAACCCAACGTAAGGCTTCAGCCTGATCTTTTAAGCCTAAATTACCGGGAATGACTCCATCACCGGTTGTTAGAAAACCAAATGCACCCAAACGATAGGCAATTGTTACAACTACGGTATGTTCATTGTCCATTATATACTCTGGACCAGTATAAATGGGTGCAGACGACCCAGCGAAAAATCCTCCTCCATGTACGTAGAATATTACGGGAAAATATTGGCTAGGATTAGGTTTCTATAGAAAACGAAATATTAAATAATTAATACTTATTTTTCATTACAAAATCAAGGGTCTGTTGATTATATTGATGATGTTGTCTACAAAGATTGGCCGTAGTTCAACAAGTATATGTGTTATGGGACCTAATAAGATGTGTAGCACCGATTAGTGTTAACTAAATAAATAACTAAACTAACTACTAACCTAACTAACTAACTAACTACTAACTAACTAACTACTAACTAACTAACTACTAACTAACTAACTAACTAACTACTACTAACTAACTAACTAACTAACTAACAAACTAACTAACTAACTAACTAACTAACTAACTAACTACTAACTAACTACTAACTACTACTAACTAACTAACTAACTACTAACTAACTAACTAACTAACTAACTACTAACTAACTAACTAACTACTAACTAACTAACTACTAACTAACTAACTAACTAACTAACTAACTACTAACTAACTAACTAACTAACTAACTAACTAACTACTAACTAACTAACTAACTAACTAACTAACTAATACTAACTAACTAACTAACAACTACTAACTAACTAAACTACTAACGAACTAACTAAACTAACTACTACTAACTAACTAACTAACTACTAACTAACTAACTAACTAACTAACTAACTAACTAACTAACTAACTAACTAACTAACTAACTACTAACTAACTAACTAACTAACTAACTAACTAACTAACTAACTAACTAACTAACTAACTAACTACTAACTAACCTAACTAACTAACTACTAACTAACTATAACTAACTAACTAACTAACTAACTAACTAACTAACTAACTAACTAAACTAACTAACTAACTAACTACTAACTACTAACTAACTAAAACTAACTAACTAACTAACTAACTAACTAACTAACTAACTAACTAACTACTAACTAACTACTAACTAACTAACTAACTAACTAACTAACTAACTAACTAACTAACTACTACTAACTAGACTAACTAGCTAACTAACTAACTAACTAACTACTAACTAACTAACTAACTAACTAACTAACTAACTAACTAAGTACCTAACTAACTAACAAAGCTCAAAAGCTATTAAAAAATCATGTCTGTATCTCTCGATATTAGTTTAAAATAGCACCAAGTCCATAGTTGTAAGTAAATATAATCTTGGAAGCACTTTTCATTACTTCCCTCAACTACTTACAATTGGTCTATAAACATTTAAATACAAACAATCTTCATCACCATGTACTCGCCAACCCGGTACATAATAGTTTTTTTGTATACACGAAAATTTTGCATCCTTGGCCTGGAAAGTCTCATTACTGTAGAAACGTTTTGGTGACTAAAAGTTAAAAAAAAAAAAATTATGAAATCAAATCTTTTTTCTATTTCTATTAAAATAGTACTAAAACTAGTATGTATATAAAACTTGTAAATTGAACTTACATGAAATCGACGAGGTTTTATTGCATACGGTATTCCTAAATATGCTTCAATTTATCGATTTGATAGCCGTCCATTTCAAAACCAATAAAACATCCAGCATCAAATGTACAAACCTTCGGATCTTGACCTGTACAAAACCAGATACACACTGATTACTAAACAATGTGTTAATAATTTTACGTAGAACATGCTGAATCGATAAACTTTTTTCAACAATTTCACGAAATTTGAAATCGTATATCACCACTCTATTGGTTGTTCTATCACTTTTCCTTTGAAATACTTTAAAACTATTGCAGAAAATTCCTAAATTGAAAAAATTAGCAATAAGTTTTATAATTTATATTCTTTTTTTCTGCATCTACATATTCATATAATGAAATTTTTACACTTTGACTAAATAATTCACGTAAAAAATATGGAGATCCGAAACAAATTAATTTAACATTTTAGGAAAGAAATTAAACTCTTCAAACGCTCGAAAATATGAGAGATTCAAAATAAATTACATAAAAACTTGTAAACTAGACTATATTATAGATTGGACAATACTATAGACTAGACGTTAGACTAGACTATAGACTAGAATATAAACTACAATATAGTATATACTATACTAAAGACTAGACTATAGACTACGCTGTAGACTAAACAATAGACTAGACTTCAGACAAGACTATAGAACAAACTATAGACTAGGCCATAGACTGGCTATGTACTAAACTAAACACTAGACTATAGACTAGACGATAGACTAGGCCTATAGACTAGCTCTGTACTAAACAATAGACTAAACTATAGACTAGACCATAGACTAAACTAAAGACTAGACTATAGACTAGACAATAGACAAGACGATAGACTAGACTAAACTATAGACTAAATTATAGACTAGACTATAACTAGACTATAGACTAGACTATAGACTAGACTATAGACTAGACTATAGACTAGACTATAGACTAGACTAATAGACTAGACTATAGACTAGACTATAGACTAGACTATAGACTAGACTATAGACTAGATTATAGACCTAGACTATAGACAGACTATAGACTAGACTATAGACTAGACTATAGACTAGACTATAGACTAGACTAGACCAGACTATAGACTAGACTATAGACTAGACTATAGACTAGACTATAGACTAGACTATAGACTAGACTATAGACTAGACTATAGACTAGACTATAGACTAGACTATAGACTTGACTATAGACTAGACTATAGACTAGACTATAGACTAGACTATAGACTAGACTAGACTAGACTATAGACTAGACTATAGACTAGACTATAGACTAGACTATAGACTAGACTATAGACTAGACTATAGACTAGACTATAGACTAGACTATAGACTAGACTAGACTAGACTAGAGACTAGACTATAGACTAGACTATAGACTAGACTATAGACTAGACTATAGACTAGAAGACTAGACTATAGACTAGACTAGACTAGACTAGACTATAGACTAGACTATAGACTAGACTATAGACTAGACTATAGACTAGACTATAGACTAGACTATAGACCAGACTATAGACTAGACTATAGACTAGACTATAGACTAGACTATAGACTAGACTATAGACTAGACTATAGACTAGACTATAGACTAGACTATAGACTAGACTATAGACTAGACTATAGACTAGACTATAGACTAGACTAGAGACTAGACTATAGACTAGACTATAGACTAGAGACTAGACTATAGACTAGACTAGAGACTAGACTAGAGAGACTATAGACTAGACTATAGACTAGACTATAGACTAGACTATAGACTAGACTATAGACTAGACTATAGACTAGACTATAGACTAGACTATAGACTAGACTATAGACTAGACTATAGACTAGACTATAGACTAGACTATAGACTAGACTATAGACTAGACTATAGACTAGACTATAGACTAGACTATAGACTAGACTATAGACTAGACTATAGACTAGACTAGACTAGACTATAGACTAGACTATAGACTAGACTATAGACTAGACTATAGACTAGACTATAGACTAGACTATAGACTAGACTATAGACTAGACTATAGACTAGACTATAGACTAGACTATAGACTAGACTATAGACTAGACTATAGACTAGACTATAGACTAGACTATAGACTAGACTATAGACTAGACTATAGACTAGACTATAGACTAGACTATAGACTAGACTATAGACTAGACTATAGACTAGACTATAGACTAGACTATAGACTAGACTATAGACTAGACTATAGACTAGACTATAGACTAGACTATAGACTAGACTATAGACTAGACTATAGACTAGACTATAGACTAGACTATAGACTAGACTATAGACTAGACTATAGACTAGACTATAGACTAGACTATAGACTAGACTATAGACTAGACTATAGACTAGACTATAGACTAGACTATAGACTAGACTATAGACTAGACTATAGACTAGACTATAGACTAGACTATAGACTAGACTATAGACTAGACTATAGACTAGACTATAGACTAGACTATAGACTAGACTATAGACTAGACTATAGACTAGACTATAGACTAGACTATAGACTAGACTATAGACTATACTATAGACTACTAGACTAGACTATAGACTAGACTATAGACTAGACTATAACTAGACTATAGACTAGACTATAGACTATACGACTAGACTATAGACTAGACTATAGACTAGACTAGACTATACTATAGACTAGACTAGACTAGACTATAGACTAGACTATAGACTAGACTATAGACTAGACTATAGACTAGACTATAGACTAGACTAGACTAGACTAGACTATAGACTAGACACTATAGACTAGACTAGACTATAGACTAGACTAGACTAGACTAGACTAGACTATAGACTAGACTAGACTATAGACTAGACTAGACTAACTAGACTAGACTAGACTATACTAGACTAGACTAGATACTAGACTATAGACTAGACTAGACTAGACTAGACTAGACTAGACTATAGACTAGACTAGACTATAGACTAGACTAGTTAGACTATACTATAGACTAGACTATAGACTAGACTATAGACTAGACTATAGACTAGACTATAGACTAGACTATAGACTAGACTATAGACTAGACTATAGACTAGACTATAGACTAGACTATAGACTAGACTATAGACTAGACTATAGACTAGACTATAGACTAGACTATAGACTAGACTATAGACTAGACTATAGACTAGACTATAGACTAGACTATAGACTAGACTATAGACTAGAATTGAATATATAATATCTGTTATAAAAAAAAGTTCTTTCCAGCACATTTTCGATCTTCTTGGGGTACTTTTTGAATTATCCGCAATATTGAATTTGGAAACATAAAATTTCGAATATTTATTTAGAATTATCTTTATTTATTTATTGTTATTATTCATGCAAAATATCATCCCAAATTTCATACGTTTCGTGTCAAATGTATCGATGATTTTAACAATCATTTCCCCAGAAGGCTCTTTAACATATTCCATATATAGACATATACGATCCTCTACCGGATAAAATGTTACTTTGTTGCATTTTTCCACAGAATGTTTGGGTTTTCTATAAAATAAAAGATAATATATAACAGATTTAAACTGAACAATTAGAGCACAACTTACCTATTATGAGCGAAATAGAGTAAATCGTCTATATATAATTTTAAAGCTTCTGCTTCGGTTGAGTTGTGTGCATATAAGGGAAAATAAGCTTGCGTAGAAAAGATAAAGAAAAATCATCGCCGTGTATTATACCGTATTTGTTCGCGGTGTCATGATTGACAAATTTATCGGCAAATGTATAGATTCCGGGGTAGTTGAAATTATACATATAAACTGGATATTTAACTGTATCGATTGTATTAACATACATTTTAACGGTATTATAAAGAGGATGATAGAAGAGGCGATCTGTTAGCATCTAGAAGTGAAAATCAAATAAAAGGGAAAATAGTTTTAAACTAAATATTTATATCTAGATACCTACATCCATAAAACCCTGCTGCGTGTTATCATTTAATACCGTACTTTCATTAAAATATTCTTTAATTATTAAACCCGTCTTATCCGCTGCCTGCGTTGAAGTGAAATAGTGTGGATATTCTTGAAGTTTTGTCAATAAATCGGTGAAGTTATTATTAAATTGATTTTTTAATTCCTCTGATTCCATTATGCTTACAACCCGTACCGCCCTCATTGGGTACACGACCAAACAATATGGGTACTGGTGAATAACGGCCAGTACGTAAATATTCTTTAGGATGTTTGGTTATGAACGCCGTAGGCGACTCATCTTCAACCACTGGTCTATAATTGAACAAATTATCGACATCCCAATATTTTAAATGATCTCCGGCATTAAGCAGTGTATGTGCATCTACTTCTTGTAGAGCTTTTTTCAATTCATGTGTCTTAATCTTATCCCACTTAGATATATTACAATATTTGGCCGTTAGTCTAGCTGTTTGCGTGGGATTTTCGTCGATAGCAAATGGTACATTTGCCGTACCACTTATTGCTATA